AATACATAAAGTAAGTAGTTAAAAAGAATAATAATTCGATAAATATTTATCTTTTAAAAAAATAAAAATATCGTTATAAAAAGTATTCAAAGAATGCCAAAATAAAAAAATCTATTAAAGAATCCCATATGATTTATGTATAGAAAACGTTTCAGTCAATTTGCTAAAATTATTACATTTCTTGCAGGTCTCATTAAAAATTGCAATAGGAAAAATACTTTTATGTTAAGTTTCTAAGTTAAAGGCATTTAAAACAAACATCAACATGGGATTTATAAAATTATTATTAAATCTCAGTCTACATATAATATTGATTACAAACAGCGTTTTATGTGCCAATAATGATTTAGAAATTATTTACCGTTTACCCAATAATACAGTACCATTGTTCTATAACATTTCTCTGATACTAAATCTTGAAGAAGACATCTTTACTTTTCACGGTGAATCCAATATTAAAATTGAGATTCGTTATGCATCGTTAAATAATATAAGCTTACATTCAAAAGAGTTAGAATTAAATGAAACGGCGACAACGTTGATTAATGATAATGGTACAGTTTATAAACCAATAAAACATTCCCATGATAATGAAACGGATATCTTGACACTTAATTTCAAAAATGCATTGTCACCCGGCTTTTACATTCTTAACATGAAATTTATTGGCTTTATACAAGAGAATAGTTTTTTCGAAAGTGGTTTTATGATATTTCCGTATACAAATAAAGGAAAAAATAATACGTAAGTGTGAAATGTTAAAATATTAAAAAGTATAAACTATTGTAAAATATTAAAAAAACTCGATAACATGTTGCTATTTTTGCAATTATACTTAAAAACGTTTTTCAGTATGTAAATTTAATTATAATGTATATATTAAGTAATAATTAATATTAGAATATATATATTATATATATGTATAATGTAATATTTAGTAGCTTTAATTCAAAATAAAAAATATTACGTATCAATTTTTCTTTATAAAAAAATTATTATTATATAACAATATAAATAATGAGTGTTCTTAAAATTTTCATATCATCCAATATAAGTGGAAAATTTGTCGTTACTTAAAATATTTTATTAAATTGTAGAATGGTTGCAACGTATTTGGAACCGAAAGGAGCTAGACGAATATTTCCCTGTTGGGACGAACCCGCGTTAAAAGCCATCTTTAATATTTCTGTAACGCATCATGTGAAATATCTGGCATTGTCAAATATGCCTCTAGTACAAAGGGAATTTTTTGAAAATAATATGACGTGTACGTACTTCAACATTTCTCCAATAATGTCCACTTATCTTGTAGAGATTATCGTAATGCCCATGATTGATTTTCACCATCTTTCCAACGAGAAAGAAACCATCAATGTGTGGTACAGATCATCTTTGATATCACAAATAACATTTGTGTTTAATATCACTGAAATGGTCACGCCATTCTTGATCCAATACACCAATAATTCCGAAAAAGTACCGAAAATGGATCACTTCATCATACCAAATTTTCCGGTTGACGGCATGGAACATTGGGGACTCATCACTTACAAGTAATGTACTTAATTAAAAATAAATTAATTAAACTATTAAAGTTAACAAATATTATTCTTAATATTCAAAATTTAGTAATTTAGAACGAGTGCGTATTTCACAGATATAAAAAAATGCATATTTTCATGTTTAAATTATCTAAAATAGTTAATGTGTTTAATATACATATATATATATATATATATATTATGGATTCCTCCTTTTTTTCAATCCAATTACGTATATAGAATATTGCTAAAGTGTGACCCAATCCCTAGATCTCGGAAACGGCTTTAGAAAAATAAAAGTTTTAGCATATTAAGGGAACAGATGATGAAAATATAGATTTATGTTCAATTTGTTCACCTCTAGATAACTTTATCCAAGAATATCTCCCAGATTACAATGGAGATATTTCCTGAATAAGATTATCCGCAACTTATCTGAAAGTAAAGAAATTGAGCATTGAAAGAACCAAGTCAATGTGATCAATATTTTCTTATATAGAATCTACCATTTTTTATTACTCTTATAACTTACTTTGAGAGTTTTTCAAAACAATATATATAAAAAAATTATTACTTACTAAATATTTTCTGAGTTACATATATAAGATTTAAAAAATGAGATTTAAAACATTAGGATAATGAAAGGTATTCAATTGACAGCTAAAACATTTTGAATATTGTTCAGGGAATCACGATCTTAATAATTTCATTTGTCAAGGCTACTAGAGGTAGTTCCTCCCTTTTTCATACTTATGTACATAAGAAAATATTCTTATTGTACATTTAAAAAATTATATATGTAAAAAAAATTCACACTGAATTATTCGCAAATAATATAATTGCTCAAGAACACATTACATTAGATTGCATATTCACAACAGAAACATTTTATATTACATTGTTTTTCAGTGAATCATCAGTTATCTACAATGCTAACAAATATCCAACATATAGGAAAGCAGAATTAGCAACGATAGTAACACATGAAATTGCACATCAATGGTTTGGTAATTTGGTCACACCGTCTTGGTGGTCTTATCGTTGGTTAAAAGAGGGACTTGCTTCATTCTTCCATACGTACATCATTGACAAGGTTAATTAATATTATTATATAATGCAAAGTTGCTTATTATTGGAAAAAATGCTGAATTACATTTTAATACTAGTATTAAATAAGGCGTTTTCATCAAATGTATTAAGATATATAATATAAAATTAAATAAAAAAGATAGAGTGCTTTAATTTAGAATTATATTTTAATATTGAACAATTTTAAATAATCTTCAATATATTTAATAGTAATTAAACTAGATATGATTCTTCTTGAAGAATTCAACACGAAAAACTAATTGAATTAGGCATCATAAAAGATGAAATTGCGAAGTTTTAAAATTAGAAGTGACAAACAAACTGGTTTTTTATTTCTAATTTGGAATTTTTTAATATTCAGTCACACCACATATCATTTTTTTCTTCAGATTTTCGATGATTGGCGAACAATAGATCTTTTTGTGGTTGACAAATTACACTACAGTTTGATGATAGATAAAGGCGTATTGGATCCTATCACATTGGAACTTAATAATACCTTTGAAAGACTGGATCTGCTTTCTTTTGTAGTTTATCATAAAGGTAAGATTATGTAAATATAATTAAACTATTATTTATTATAGATTTCTTAATATACAGTACAAAGAAAAAGATAAAATAGAAAACTAAAATAAATAAATTCTTCTTTTGCACAATATACAAGATGTTGCAAAATTCACGCCCGAAGTTTGTTTTAGCACAAAGTATCACGTCTTTTACTTCGCTGGCGCAAATTTTGGAACATCCTGTATAACTGCATAAGTATATTACATTGTATATATCTTAATTTTATATGTGCTTTAACTGTATCATTAATATTTGATGCATTATTGTAGCGTCAATTATATTCCGCATGTTACAAAATACTATTACTGACGAGGTATTTCGAAAAGGTATTATCATATATTTAGCCACGCAGTAAGTATGTATAACAAATATTTATTATATATCATAGTACTAAGTATCATAAATGTAATAATACTTTTTGTATTCGTGATGAAAGTATACCATTTCATCAGAAACATAAAATTAAACATACTTGAGATATCGCATTATTATTCAATTATAGACCATTCACACTTTTTAATAATTATAATTTAATTTAAATTAATTTTGAATTATATATTCTAAATTTTTGCATGCATAATGTTTATATATTAAATTGTACATCAATATTCACGTAGATTCGTCAATGGTAAATTTAAACATTTCCTGACAAATGATGTTAACAATTGTTTTTTATTTAGTGAATATGGATCAACCACTCCGGATGATTTGTGGAACGCCATGCAAACTGCTTTAGACGAATCTGATGTCCCACACGAACATTATAGAATAAAGGAAGTAATGGATACATGGATGAATCAAAAGAGTTATCCCGAGGTGAACGTGATGAAAAATTACACAACTGGCGAAATAACAATATCTCAAAAATGTGTTTGCTGGGAGGAAACTAATAACAAATGGTGGATACCCATAACATTTGCCACGCAGTCCAATCCGAATTTCTCCAGTACTGTGCCCAGATATTGGTTACAACCAAATCAAAATATAACCTTTAAAATTGATCCATATGATTGGATTATTGTTAATGTACAACAAACTGGTAAATATGGCTCAATTAATTAATGCTTGATCTATTCTATTGTCAAGTTTTACATCATTCTGTAAAGTTCTAAATCGTTCAACTTTATATTTATTTTTTTATCTATAAAAGCTTAAAAGAAATTTATATGATTATGTTCTCCGAAACTTTAGCCAAATATTAATGAGTATACGTATGTGCGTGCGTGCGTGTGTGCGTGCGTGTGTGTGTGTGTGTGTGTGTTTGTATATTTGTTACATTAAGAAAAGACAATTATAAATATTTGAAAATATATCTCAATGAATTTAATTAAAAGGATCTAATATATATATATATATATATATACATATATATATATATATAAAATGAATAATGCAATAGGATACTATCGTGTAAATTACGATATCAAGAATTGGGAAAAAATTTCAAATTACTTAAATTCTGTGGATTTCACGAATATACATGTTCTTAATCGTGTTCAAATTATCGATGATCTTTTTGATTTTGTGGATGGAAGAATAAGTGGATTTGTATTCATTAATCTTATAAAATATCTACAGCAAGAAGTCGATTATGTAGCATGGTATCCATTACTATTCCGAGTTATACCATTGTTAAAGAATACTATTTTCCTGCCAGAAGCAATATATGTCAAGGTAGATAACAATTCTCTCTCTCTCTCTCTCTCTCTCTCTCTCTCTCTCTCTCTCTCTCTCTCTCTCTCTCTC